CAAAGGCTTTACTGAAATCCAAGTAAATGACATCAACTTTAAATGTAAATGAGGGATCATGTCCCTCATCCAAATGGTTAGTTACCTGGTCATAGAAGGATACCAGGTTTGTCAGGCATGATCTACCTTGACGTGCTAGTTACTTCTTAATACCACACCAGTTACCAGCTTGTAACTGATGGCCTCAATTTTTCAATATTTTTTCCCAGGACCAAAGTCAGACTGACTGGTCTGTAGTTTGCAGGGTTATCCCTCTTCCTTTCTTGAAGATAGGTACCACATTGGCCCTCTTCCAGTCATTGGGGACCACTCCCAAGTTCCACGACTCTTTGAACAGCTTTGCCAGTGGCTCTGCTATAAGCTCAGCCAGTTCTTTCAAGACTCTCGGATGAAGGTCATCTGGGCCAGTAGGCTTGAAAGTGTTCAAATATTCTGAGATCCCTCAGCTGTTCAGGACTGATTTCATGTAGTCTGTTATCTTCCCCATGTTCCCAGGGCTTCTGGACAGGTGAACAGCCCCTGTTTGATTTCAGAAATACTAATGTGAACTGATTTAGGAGCTCTGCCTTCTCATGGGGATCAACTGTGGGCTGCCCATCCTTATTCAGTAGGGGTCCCACAGTGGAGCCCATTTTTTTTCTTGCTCCCTATGTATCTATAGAAGGACTTTTTGTTGTCCTTTATTCTTGTTGCCATCTTGATCTCCATGCCTTCCCTGGCTTTCCCTGTCTCATACCTGCAGACCCTGGCAATAAAAGTGTACTCCTCTCTGGTTGCTGAACCATTTTTCCATTGCTTGTAAGCTTCTTTTTTCTTTTTCAATAGTTTCCTAATATCCCGGTTGAGCCAAGCAGGTTTCTTGGCTCTTTTCCCACTTTTTGTCCATGTGGGGGTGGTCTCTTCTTGAGCAGTGAGAATTGCCCCCTTAAGGAAGCAGCACTGTTCCTGAACTCCCAAATCATCCAGTTGCTGGTCGCAGAGGGCCTCTCCAACTAACCTCCTGAGTATGCCAAAGTCTGCTCTTCTGAAGTCTAGGACTTCTGTTCTACTAACTAGATTCCCAGCCTTTCGGTGGATGATGAGCCTAATCAAGTCATGATCACTGTTGTCCAGAGTACTTCCAATTCTCAGGTCACCTATCATGTCCTCCCCTTTGGTCAGCACTAAATCCAGAGTGGCCCTACCCCTAATCTGAGGTACCAAGTGGGGGTGATCCAGCCAGACCAGGAAGCCTAGGGGTATGGTGCGTACTCATCACCATATTGCAGGGTGGGACTGTGCTTGTACCACCACCAAACTTGCACAGCCCTTTAAGGCCCGCTTTCACAGCCGCACTCTGGGCCCCTTTCAGTGCTCCGTTTCAGTGCTCCACGTGCTGTGTCCATGCGCAGCTCCCTAGGTGTTTGTTTAAGTAGGAGACCAGGTGGGTATATTTACCCTCACCAGCTGGTGCTGCTGCTGTGACTAGGCAGGCAGGTTTGAGCAGCCACCTGCAGGGGGATTCCCTGCGTCCCTGGATCACTCCCTCATCCCCTTTACCTGAGGTCCAGCACTGGGGGTCTATTCCTCGGCGTCGGAGAGCTTTGGCTGCCCAGGGGCACAACAGGTATGGGGTGTGCCATGCATCAGCACCAGGGGCAGCTCAAAAGTGAAGTACCCACCAATACCCCTTACACGTGCCTTTCTGCGCTAACTCCTGCGCTAACTCCTGTGTCAGGCCCAGAGCACACCTGTTTTGAGAAATTATTAGTACTTCTTGCCAAAAATATCACTGAAATATGGAAAGTCAAAAGTGGAAAAGACACCATTTAAAAGTTATATTCTTTCATTGTGTACCAAATTCTGTTGACATCAACATGATATTTATGCACAGACTACCAGGTGAAATGTGATTATTATTAAGGGAGATTAATGTTTACCTATTTTTACTGCAGGAACAACTTTCTGAAATATCTCTCTTTAGGAAATAATATGGCTAAGGATGCCCATTCAAAATTAATTGAAATTACTTGTGCAGATGCATTACATTGGAATCTCTTTAATCCCCTCTACTGTTTTTTCATAGGATACCTACTTAATTTCTCCATTTACAGATAGAGAAATGAGGTACAGGAACTTAAAACCAAGCTGTCAAACATAGCCACTAATTTAGGCGCCAAGTTGAAATGCACACAGGTTCTTTTTTTAGCGTGTTTATAGAACACTGTGTGTGCATCTACAGGTGCATTTTACTGCAGAGCTGACTAATTAGCTCTAAAGCATCACCATCTGCATGTGCAACCATATTAGGGCACAGGAAATTTAATTAACCTCACTGCAGGATAGCGCTATCCAGGACAAGTACTGTCCTACAGCAGAGTAGTTATGCGTACCAAAATGCATATGTAGACGATGACTAGGCTTGGCTGGGGCATGAGGGAGCAACAGTGCGGGGGCTGCCTTGTGGCTAGCCCCTCACTGGAGCACCCTTGTGCCCCAGCCAGCCCCTCCACAGCACATTGAGCTAGTCAGAAGCAGCCCTAGGCTGCCAGCCTGAGCCCCCTGCCAGCCAGGGCTGCTCTGTCCCTGCTCAACATGCTGCTGTCCCGGCGGGCATGTGTAAATGCTGTGCCCAGGAGCAATAAACTTGAGCATGAACTGCACCAGAGTTCCAGAGTTTATTATTAACTGCATGTATAGATACACCCAATATGTTCAAAGCTCAGTTCAGAATTATATTACTTCTGTTAGAGCTGGAAGCACTTAACACTCCTGTAAATCTGGCCCCAGATATCTCATGCTGGGTTCTGAGACCATGAGGAATACAAAATTAGTGTATAAGCATTTTGGTTTAAAAGCTAATCGGTAGTCTAAGGGTGAGAAGCAAGGTATGTTGGTTGAATCCCTGCAGGGTGAGATGGGCTTATAATAACCCATGTTTTTCACTTTCTTGGCAAGTACTCAAAACACTAGATTATTTGGCAAAGGACAGGTACTACCATCAGACATGTCCAAGGGTGAACAGAGCTTTAGTGCTTTACACTCAATTCAGTGCTTTTCTCAGGGTGTTGTCAGGTGGGCATCTCTCCTGTGAGCAGTATGGATCTTGACATGACAGCAACCCTTAATCTGACACCTCAGTTCCAAGGAGTGGGAATTCAGACATATCCCTATTCCTACTGTTTCTATCAGATTCTTTTCCCTGCTGAGTGGATTGGCCTTGGGAGATATTAAGATCTCCCCATTCACTGTATAAGAAGCCTAAGTACTGAGCCCTATTGATTAGGCTAGCTTCCTTAGGTCGTAATTCACCTAAATTCTAGGTATCATGATGCCTGCCTGAGAGTGGGATTGGGTTTAAGGATCAGACCTTGCCCAGCAATAAAGTGAATATTTTACAGACAGTAGTTTCATTTGATGTGAAACTCTGATTCATTCCCAGGGATAGTTTAGTTTGTCTTGTACACTGAACAAGGCATGGATCTTGTGAAATAAAATTGTTTATGACTTTGCAATTCAAAACTACATCATGATACATATGCAAAAGGAAGAAGAATTTAAAGGCATGCAGACAATTTAATTTTTCCATGTATTTGCTTTTGTAAATATAATGTTCTTTTAGTGTATTTGTTAATGTAAAATGTAAATGTAACATCCTCATTTATTTAAAAAGCAAACAAAAAACCCCACCAGAAATCATGTCATGTGGAACCGTATTAAACTGCAGCCTGGGTCATAATCAGAGCTCAGACCATTACATCACAACACAGACCTCTTCTACCTGTGGTAATGGAAGAAACAATGGCAATAGTAGCTGTTATGCTCCGTGTAGACCAATAGAGAGGGATGAGACACACACCTTGCCCTGTGGGTTTCAGTTGCTGACAGCAGCAGTATGCAGACACTCAGATTCCTGTGTTCAGTTCCAGGTTCTGAAGGGGAATGTGTTCCAGTGGTCATAGACCGTTCTGCCTCTTTGTCCTTCTTTGCTCTTCCTGTCACAACAGAATTGTGGTCCCTGTCCCTTGTCATGCTCTTTACTCTCTTCACTGGCTGTTTCTACTCTCTTACTGTCCCTGCCATTTGTTACTCTTCTGCATTCTTGTCACAAAAAGCTTCCCGTTTCTAATAGTCACTGCCTGGAGACCAGCAGAAGAGGGATTAATCTTTTTCTACATCTGGGTGCCTAGAAACACAGCACTCTAGTTTACTGGGAAGAGCAGTTGGAGAAAAAAATCCCATCTTGCCCCTTCCCTCTTGCTGGGCATTCGAGCATGCTCAGTGTATGCAGGGCCTTTCAGAATTAAGCAGCCTAACCTTAGCAAGTTTTGACTGAGAATGTGCAAACTGAGATTTTTCTTTATTGTTATGGTGATAGTTCTTAAGAAGTAGACTTTTTAGAACCTTTTACCCACATCACTTTTTAATGCTATATATTTTGTCACATGGCACTTTATGATCAAAATACTGTGATTTCTAATAATTTAGTGCCTTTCTGGGAAATAAAATGTAACCAAATAATTAACACCAGTGATGCTCAATCTTTTGGCCTTGTGGACTAGTTGAGTGACTTGGGACCAATCTGTGGGTTGGACTGGGCCCCATGTGCCAGGATTGAACCCCATGCTACTTCTGCCCAACCTTATGAGGCCCCTTGCTGGTCTGTGCTGCCCTGCTCAGCTCTCCACTACCCCATCCTGTCCTGATTTGCCCCATTCAACCCTACACTGCCCCATGCCACTCTAGCCCCACTCAGCCCTGGACCCACCCCAGTTGGCCCTACTTGGCCCTATACCTCCATGTCTCCTGGGTCTGGAAATTTGATAGCAGGGACTAGCAATTAGTTGCTAATGCTCCCCTGGTGCCAAATTTTTGGACCCATGAGGAGCCCTGTCAGCCAGATAACATGGCTCTGTGGACTGGGGGTTTGAACACCCCTGATTCATACAGTTGACACAAGCTGTTATGAAAAATGTTATTCCAATATGAGATTCAGCTGATAATTTTCCTTTGTGCCCTAGGTTGGACTCCACTACATGAAGCCAGAGCAACAGGTTTGTATAAGATATCAAATGAGCTTTTGAAAGCTGGTGCTAATGTTAACTGTAAAAGAAGAGAACAAATAACAACAATACAAGATGCAGTTAGAGAAGGCCATTATGAGGTGTTATTGTTATATTTGGGCACCAGCAGTGATTTTATATATAAAATATCCTGTGATTGGTCAGGGAGGTCTCATAGCATTTTACTTTCATTACACTGGTGTTAATAATGTAGGCTTTTGGGGCACATTTTAAAATTCAGGGGCTTTGGAGCTCTTAGGGTGCTTACACAAGTTATGTTTTTCATGTGATTGAGCCCTGAAAGCTCTCTATAGCCATGATCTAACACATGCATGGCTGTAGAGTGCTTTGAAAATGGCCAATTGCACAAACATTTTTAACCCTTGTCAAATGAGGTATTAGATGAAGGCACACTAAATCAGAGTACCTTAGGGAACTTGCATTCACTCAAGGATTAATTTTTCCACATTGTGGTGGGGCTGGGCTGCTGCTTGTGCCTGCGAGCACCAGCCCAGCCCTGCCCCTGGGGCTGTCAGTGGGGGAGGGCGGGAAAGAGGGAGGGAGAGTGAGCAGCAGCAGTGGCAGCTGCTGGCTTGGTTTGGCTTGGCCTGGCCAGAGCTGGAGGTGGGCGGAGCAGAGTGGAATGAAACCCCCTTGCATCATGGGCTCCCCCCAGCTACCCTGGCTGGGATTGGGGGGGGGGGGGGGAGCCTGTGAGGTGAGGGGGCTCCATTTCATTCCCTGCCTCCGTCTCCCTCCCTTTTCCTCCCTCACTGACAGCCCTGGAGCTGGGGTGGGGAGGAGCTAGGGAAAGGAGTGGTACAGCAGCCTCCTTGGCTAGGACTGGTGCAGGCAGGTTTGAGCCCCCTGACTCAACAGACAAACAGCTGTTGGATGGAGGGGTGGGGGGTCTAACTCATGGCGCTGTGTATACATATGTCTCTAGCCAATACCTTGTCCATAAAATTATCCTTCTTTTTCTTCCCAGGAAAGCAAATTCTAATCTGGATTAAGGAATTGGAAGAGAACAAGATTTTAGTGATGGAACTCTCTATTTCCCACAAAAATAGCTACAAATTCAGAGGTGGGCAAAGGTTTGGCTGGAGCAATGAACTTTTTTGTGCATTGCTGAAGACATAAATCCTGGCAGGCAGAAGGGACAAGTGTATAGCTGAATCTTGGAGGTGCTGTGCATGTATGAATCATGTACTGTATATGCCATAGAGTGTGACAAAGCACATTAGTACCAGACTAGAAGTAAAGTCAGAATCCAGAAACAAATTATAACACTAAGCACAGGTATTAACAGATTTTAACTAATCCATGTTGACATTGATTATTCAGTTGGTTTTGCTTAAGACCCCAGGATGTATGCACAGTGCCATGAGTTAGAGTGGGGCCCCTAAATATCTGTAAGCACCCTTAACTGCCCAACTTGTATTAAAATCATGAGCCACGCTTTACAGATTTGTCCTTTGGTGTGTGATAGCAGGAAATAATTGTTTTTTCTAACTGTTTTGGGCATTTAACTACTAAACTTAGTGCAGAAAAAATAATCTAAATCTAAAATGACTTGAATCTCATCCATTGGTTGTATGCATATCTGATGGAACCAGAAGATTTTTTCACTGATAAACATTATTGCATGACTGAATGTGTTTTACACTGCCTTCTGAAATATGAGATAGATGTGAAGGCAAGCTATTAGGCTAAATGTAGATTAATGGTTTGATCTGGATTGGCACCACTGTTCCCTATAACTTTTTTTCAGGAGCTTAATGAATGGCTACAGAAGCTCAAGCTTAAAATCTCTGAGTGAAGTTCCTTCTGCTACAGTGTTCCCTCTACTTACTCTACCTTTCTCTCATTTTAATTACTCCTTCAGTTCCTCATACTCTCTTATTCTACCTCTTGACATATTCCATATGCTAAATATGTTATTGGCTATTTTCTAGCATTCCCTTTCCTCATTTGTGAGAGTGTATGTGTATGCAAGAGACCACAAACTATAAGAAAAGAAAAAGGAACATAAAAGCTGAGAGAAAGAGAAAGGGAGAAAGTAAAAAATGAGAGACTAAGGAGGGGTGAGAAAAAAAGGACAAGGGGAGTAGGGGGAACATTAAAAAGAGAGAGAGAGAGAATGAGTAAGAAGGGTAGAAAGGAAAGAAAGGCATCCTAGAATCTTTCATGCAACAGTGCCTGTTAATAGGATGTCTGACCATGCAACGTAAAAGGGAACAATGAATAATATAATGGTTATAGTGCTACTGTGACATATCACTGATATGAATTCTCTTCTACTTAGTTTCCACTAAAGTATTAGTTACCAGGGCTAGTCATTTTGAATTGTAATGACTACTGCAATATTTTCATAAATATGCGTCCATGGTTTCTTTGTAGCTGTGCACACAAATTAGTTGTGTGAATTGTGGCATGCACAATTATGAAAAATTGGCCTTTTAATTTTATAATTCATTGAAGAGAAATCTAGTCCTGGGGTCTTAAACAGTAAGCCAACTGAGTAATCAATGTCGACATGGATTAGCTAAAATCTGTTAAAACCTGTGCTTAGTATTATAATTTATTTCTGGATTCTGACTTTACTTCCAGTCTGGTATTAGTGTGCTTTGTCACTTTACTGGCACATACAGTACATGGTTCATACATGCACAGCACCTCTGAGACTAAGGTGTACACTTGTCCCTTCTGCCTGCCAGGATTTCTGTCTTCAGCAATGCACAAAAATGTTCATTGCTCCAGCCAAACCTTTGCCCACCTCTGGATTTGTAGCTATTTTTGTGGGAAATAGAGTTCCATCCCTAAAATCTTGTTCTCTTTCAGTTCCTTAATTCAGATTAGAATTTGCTTTTCTGGGAGGAAAAAGAAGGATAATTGTATGGACAAGGTATTAGCTAGAGACATGAGAAACCCAATATCAGTTCCCTGGTTTTCCACAGACTGTGTGTGACTGTACTGCCTCTCTACCAAGCCCAGGACCATAGCTGAGAAAGATGCTCTCCTAAGACAGAGAGCCTGAGAACAGCATTTGGATTGCTCATTTAGGATCCTCTAAGATATCTACTCTGCCTAACTGTGTGGCATGTGAAAGAGTGGGTGAGGCTTATTCATAGATTCATAGATTGTTAGGGGCTGGAAGGGACCTTGTACACCATCGGGTCCAGTCCCCCTGCACTAGGCAGGAAAAGACAACTGGGGTCAAGTGACCCCAGTGAGGTGACTGTCCAGTCTCCTTTTGAAGATTTCCAGGGTAAGTGACTGCACCACCACTGGAGGGAGTTTGTTCCACAGTCTGGACACCCTGACTGTGAAGGAGTTTTTCCTGGAATTGAGCCTGAAGCGGCCTTCTAGGAGTTTGTATCCATTGCTCCTGGTCTTCCCCAGGGGTGCCCTAGTGAACAGCTGTTCTTGATGTACTTCCCTGATGTAGTGGTAAGCTGCTATCAAGTCCCCTCTCAGCCTTCTCTTCTGTAGGCTGAAGAGGCCCAAGTCCCTCAGCCTCTCCTCGTATGGCTTGTCTTGTAAGTCCCAGATCATATAGGTGGCTCTTCTCTGGACCTTCTCAGTTTTTCCACATCCTTGTTGAAGTGCAGTGCCCAGAAGTGGACACAGTACTCCAGCTGTGGTCTCACCAGTGCGGAGTACAGTAGGAGTATCACTTTGTTAGTTTTGTATCATATGTAACGGTTAATGCATGCCACCGTGTTGTTTGCCCTGCTGGCCACAGCATCACACTTCTGGCTCACGTTCATGTGATGGTCAATTACTATCCCTAGGTCCCTTTCGGTCATGGTGCAAGTAAAATTGTCGCCCCTGAGCCTGTAGGTATGTTTGGGATTGTTTGTCCCCAGATGGAGCACCTTATACTTCTGAGTGTTGAACTTCATCTGGTTCTGGTCCGCCCAACTCTCCAGCCCGTCCAGGTCCGCCTGTATCTACAACCTATCTTCTGGCATGACCATGCTCCCCCTTAACTTGGTGTCATCCGCAAACTTGACCAGTGAGCTTTTCACCCCCACATCCAAAGCATTGATAAAGATGTTGAAAAGCACCAGTCCAAGCACAGACCACTGAGGGACACCACTGGCCACTTCTCACCAGGACAGCACAGATCCATTCATGAGAACTCTCTGGGTCCTACCATACAGCCAGTTTTCCACTCACTGAACTGTTGAGCAGTTAGGCCCACAATCTTCCAATTTTTCCACAAGGATATTGTGGGATACTAGATCAAAAGCTTTTTTGGAAGGGTTGGTATATAATGTTGACCTTCTCTCCCATGTCCAGGTGGCAGGAGTCCTGTCTGTAGAAACAGATGAGATTGGTAAGGCAAGACCTACCCATGACGAAGCCATGCTGGCTGTCGTTCAAAATCTTACCCGCAACGAGCGTATCACACACAGATTCTTTCATGAGTCTTTCCAGGATTTTCCCTGAGATGGAGGTTAGGTTTGTTGACCTATAGTTGCCCGGGTCCACCCTCTTCCCCTTCTTGAAGATGGGCACAATACTGGCCCTCTTCCAGTCCTCAGGGATCCCCCCTGTGTGCCATGATTTCTGAAAGAGTTTTGCCACAGGTTCCGCAATGACCTCAGCCAGCTCTATCAGCACTCTCAGGTGAAGTCCATCTGGTCCTGCTGACTTATAAATGTCTAGCTTTTCAAGTTGATTTTGCACAAGCTCAGCATCCACAGTTGGAAGACTCATTTCCACCATGCCCCCTGTGAAACTTATTTTGCTTCTTTCCCCTTGGTCTAGTGAAATACCAAAGCAAAGTGGGCATTCAGGAGTTCAGTTTTTTCCTGAGTGTCCATTACCAACTTTCCTGAGGTGTTAAGCAGGGGCCCCATGCTTCCATTTGTTTTCCTTCTGCTCCCTACATACTTAAAGAAGGACTTCTTATTGTCCTTGACACCCTTGGCTAACTTAAACTCAGTCGCCGCCTTAGCTTTCCTAATCTTCCCTACAAGTGCGGACCACTGTTAGACAGTCCTCCTTGAGGACTGTCTCTAGCTTCCACTGTGTGTACGCCTCTTTTTTCTTTTTTAAGAGGACCACAATGTCCCTATTGAGCCAGTAGGGC